GGTAGTTCTGAGCATGCATACAACTGTAAAAAAGACCGGTTTGTCTGCTGCCACCAAGTGTATCAAAGTCTCCCGTTCGAATATTTGATTATTTAAGTATTCTGCCTTCCATCTGATCAAAGCAGAAAACTGGCAGTCTAACTGAAGTCTATTCCTGATGGTGATTTATTCCCTCAGTCCCACCAAGATCACACAAAAAGAAAAAAATAAAATTGGAAGGAAAATAACTTTCTGGCCTGATTGTTGGGCGTATGCATTTATGCGCGCAGTACACTCATGTGAAACAAACAATGAAATTTTTCCTGGTTTATTTTTTTCCATTTTCATCTCTGAATATAAGAATATCTAAGAATTGATCAGTTGTTTTATTACCTGAATATTCGGTGCAGCCTTCAAACTCTTTTAGGCTTGTAAACTCTTGACAAGAAATCCTAACAAGAAATGGATGAACTTTGCATTTCTTTTTCTTGTCCCGTCACCTTGACAGAGTTGGGCCACAATTTCGGCAGTGAACATGACCCCGGCACAGAAGGGAGTGCCTGCTCACCTGGTAGCCGGCAAAGCGGTGGTAACTACCTGATGTTTCCGGCTTCTGTTAGTGGCCGGGACCCCAACAACAGGGTAAATTACCTTTTAGTGGTCTACATGGCAAATGATTTCATGCACTGCTTCTTTTGCCTTTCAAGAATTCCCTGCTCAGGATGTTCCAATGTTTAATTTGTCTGATTTTGTTATTGACCATAATTGTTTCATTTGACCTTGGTAAGGTGACTTTTGAAGATCCCTTGTAATAACTTCAACACATCTTCCATTAAGTAGTTTGTCTGACATTGGATTGATGAGTTTGCTTAGATGGTTGGACACAGTGTTCATTCACACTTTTTGTCTTGTTCTTTCTCTAGAAATTCTCCAATTGCAGTCTACGTCTCATTGCCCCAGTGCTCCGGGCTAAGTCTCCAAGATGTTTCCAAGGTAGGAATCCTTATCATCTGCTGGGACTGCAGTATGAAAGTCAGTATGTGCCCTTACTGAGCGGCTCATGTTGAAAACCCGCTCTTGCTAGGTCCTATCCTCAATCCTTCAAAATCTGCCAAACCTGGTGGATCTAAAAAAGATCGAGGAGGGTTTAGGGTGTATCCATGTGGAATGCTGGATCATACCAAACCCTTCAAACCTGGTGAAGGTTGAAGGATTTTGGAGGGTTTGGGTTCATCCATTTAAATCAGCTGGACCAAACTACACACTTCATAACCTTTTGATAGATTTTGAAGGATAGGAGGAGTAGGGTATGTCCATCTGGAACACTTGGTCATTTGAAATCCCGTAAAACTTCCTGGTGGCTTGTGAAGAATGAGAGTGAGGGTTTATCCATCTAGAGCACTTTTCCATTGAAATCCTTCAAAACCTCGCGGTTGGTTTTGAAAGATCTAGCAGAGTGAGGGTTTATTTAGCTGTAGTTCTGAGCTTTTTGAAATCATTCAAAACCTGAGGGATTTTGATTGGTCTAAGAGGGTAAGGGTTAATTCATGAGAAAGATCAGGCTGGTCTTGACGAAGTCTGTTGAGATGTATTATTTTGTCGTTGCAGAACCCAAAGGTGATGCAGTGTGTGGGAATTATCGTGTGGACCCCCCTGAGGAATGCGATGTGGGTCATTTGGGCAATAACAACATGGACAAATGCTGTGGGTCCAACTGCCGACTGAAGAAAGGCGCTCGCTGCAGTGACAGAAACGCAGCCTGCTGCCTTGATTGCCAGTTTGCAGGCCCCAATGTAGAGTGTCGCAAGGCGGCAAAGATTGACAAGGATTGCCGGCAGAGCGCCAACTGTACAGGCCAGAGTGCGCTCTGCCCAGCGTCGCTGCCTAAACCAGAGAAGGCTGAATGTGTGGACGGGTAAGAAAAGCATGCAGTATGGGCAGTTCACAAAATTCTGTGCCAGCAAGAGGCTGCAATAGAGGGACCATTGTTCAAGTTTGCAGTCACCAAAAATGTTGCTGACTTGCTGTAATTGGCATATGAATGAATGTCAGTAGACAATTGGTAGAGCTTGGCATTTGATTCACACCTCGCAAAACCATCATCTTGAGAACTTAACACGGATAGTCAAGAAAGGTACTTATTTTCTATGCAAACAATACAAACTTGGAAACATTCCAAGTTCTCCATATGTCCCGCAGCCAGCAAACAGAATTGCAGAGATGCTGACTTGTATGATTCAGGCATATTTTGGATAATTTGTTTAATCCGATCTAAGCGAAGATTTTTACAGTTTCCAACTCCAAGATTCAAAACCGTGCAGTTGTGTACAAATCTATATAAGCTAGCCCAGAGTTGGCCTTGTATGCGCTTCAGAAATATGTGGCTGGCATGCCGCAGTTTGTGCCTACAAGGTGCGTGAGCAGCGTTAGAAATCAGCAAGGTCATACCACACCCTCCCTCGCTCCATTTAATGCTCTGATGCACTGGGGTGAATAGGCCCGAATGCACTTCATGGCTACGTGATAGTATACAGAAATTCAAGGATAAATACACCAAGAAGGGGGCCTTTATTGGAAGGTCTCATTTAAAAAAATCTGGACACGCAATGCCCTTAATCAGCTTATAGAGATCATTGAATCATCTAGCAGCCATTTTACCGAGCCGAATACAAAGCTTGCCCGGCTTTGCCCGCCTTTGTGTCTCCCTGGTGTCAATAGAAGCGAGCCAACCTGCGCATTTGAATTCGGCTTGGTAAAATGGCCGCTGGTTGGTTTCTATTTCATACAAAGGCATTGCAAGTCCAGGTTTTTTATATACGTCCTGGCCGCAGGAGGGGACGATTTCAACCCCCCTAAGGACTCGGCTGCGCCATGCCTGATTTTTTTTTTAACTTGGCATGCATGCATGCACAGACATTTCTTGTCATTACAAATGTGAAGCTTGAACTCAATCGGACGTATGGTTTTGTTGTACAGTCATTTGAAGTTCAATTCTTCATGCGTGCCAGCCCACAGGCATTGAGCACTGCAGTTGAAAAGTATATTTTCCAAAAATGGTGTCAAAATTACCGCACAGAGTTACTCTAGAAATTCCTAAAGGCTCAACTACTGAAAAAATTAATTAACATAATTCTAACACAAAACTAACAATAAATCGGACGCCATAATCCTGTATCTTGTGTTGATATTTTAGAGCTGTTATTGATATGTTGGTCGGACAATTTGTCCAAGCATCTTTGATTTTGTTCGGACAAACACAATAAGTGCTTGGAAAATGTCCGATGTCTGACTGTAATTTCACGCTCTGTAATCAAGTCACCAAGTGCAAAACAGTCTCCGAGCTTCCAGCTGTCAAAGTTCCACTGTGCCGCGCGTGCAATAACCAATGAGGTTTGGTACCCAGACACAAGGGTATTTTACAGTTTATTTGTGTATGCATTTCCCCTGAGTGGAGAGGTGCCGTGCTTAATACGAGTTTGTTCAGTACGTACTTGTACATAATGGTGCAAAAAATCATTTTACACCACGTAGCTCTACACTTTTTACCACTTTTGTAAGCTTTTTTTTGAAGTGGAAAAAAAATCAAAGGTAAGTTTGCCGACTGCTATTCTTGGCCACAAAAAAAAAATTCAGAAAAAGTGCCTGTCCATCGGGCAATTTGGCCTTGATTTTTACTTGCCCGAAAGAAGTAATTACTTGTCCGGAGCTTGGCACAGAAGTATATTTGTATCTTGTGTCTCTCATGTTGCTTCTCTCAACAGAGGTTTTATTTCTCTTGGACTGGCTTTGCTGTATGTTCTATAGATGCCTTACATTGTCATTGTGAATCTGTTGTATTTTGTGTGTTTTTCCTTACAGTGGTGAATGCCAGGATGGGCATTGTGTGCCGTTCTGTGAAAAGCATGATCAAATATCCTGCATATGTCCCGGCAGTAAGTAGACTTTCAAAAATAATGATCTCTTTGCGGACATCTGAAGGACTAGCATGCATATTACTATTCCTCTCTGTGCTTGTCTCCCCTGGCATTTCTTAGAATTGTACATTTCCAAATATGACACCATCTGAAACTGTAGAAAGCATCATTGCCCTCAAAATTGATAACTTGAAGTAACAAAAAAGAAAAAATTCATGTGTCACCTTGAGAGTTTTAATCAATAACTGCTCCTGGCTGTCATAGGAAATTTGATTTCCCAAGTTGAAGTGATGGAGAATTCATGTTGACTAGAAATATTAATGCTAACAAACAAAAAACTCCATTGCTTGCACGTGGAAAAGACTTCACTGTAAAAGTAAAAACTTTTTCTCTGCCCTACTTTCAGAAAGCCACTAAACCCAGTAGATACTTGATCAACCAAAGCTGGTTACCAGCTAAATGTCACTCCAGGAAAACTGCTTGAGAATCAGTGTGCTAAGTGATATAAATTCTCTTCAACAATTCCTGAAAAGTGAGCCCACAAGTTCGAGATTTCCCTTGACCTCTAACCGTTTGACCCCTTGACCCTGTCCTAGTCGTTGAGTCCTGCTACCGATGTTGCCAGCAGACAGCGTCAGCACCGTGTGTACCTCAAATCAACAAGACGACGCAGGCCTACATCTTCCAGGCAGATGGTAGACCCTGTGAAGAAGGGGTTTGCATAAATGTAAGGGGAACAGATGGGAATCAAGACTACTTTCCATCCTTGAATCAAAACATTATTTAGTCATCCAAGACTGCTTTATCCATGAAACAAGACTGCCATCAATCAATCATTTGTTCAATATGATCAGTGCTGTAATCCATGCTTGAATTAATACTGTGCTCTATCCTTCAGTCAGTACCACATTGAATCCTGGAATCAAGACTACATTGAGTTAAGACCAAATCCCTCTTTATTCTTTTGTTTTGCACAAAATGGTTTCAGCATTTTTGTACTGAGGTTGCCATTTTTCCCTCTGACATTTCCCAGGGCGTTTGTGAGAGCCAGACTCAAGACTTTATTGAGCGGCTGTTTGATGTCTTTGAAGGTATCACCATCAGTGCCATAGGTGGGTACCACAGCAACAGTAGGTGTCAGGAAAAATTCTTACCATGGCAACGGCAGCAAGGGCCGTTTTTGTTTACATCTTTCTTGCTTTATTAAACAGGGCGCATCATCAAGGATAACGTTGTCGCGGCAACCATCATCATCTCCCTCTTTATTTGGATTCCATGCAGCTGCCTCGTGCATTACATTGTGAGTAATCGCCAAGCTTCTTGTTTGATGTCAAAGGTTAGAGGTCAGAGGCATGCTTTCGGTCTCAGGTTTGAATCCCACTTCACCCAATTTTCCTTCCCTTTTATCCTAGGATGGTAAGAGAGCTACCGAAGTAAAGACGGCTGATGAGTGGTTCAGCCCAACAGTAAGTCCCCTAGTCCACACTGCACAATATTCCTCATTTGTTATATTGACCAGCAGTGAGGGCAGTAGCTTTGCCTATGTGCCCTGATCTACTGTTGAAGACGTCGATATAGTTTTGTATATCCCATGCGCAATTTAAGAAAGAAAGTTTAAATTACAGAAGCAGAACGCAAAGAAATGAGTTTAGAGATCTCTGGTGGAATTCAGGTTTTAGCAGAAAAAGAAGCAAACACTTTGCCAGTATCTGTCCAAGGAATTTCAATTAGTTGTCTGTTTGAGATATTTTGGTGGTTTTTATTTCCTCCATGATCTTGCAGAATCAGGAACGCTATCTTCCCGAGGACCGCACCCGTGTTTACAGGTCAAACAAAAGTTACTTCCTGGAGAAAGAGACGGTGCTGTAGCATGTTGGCCTCTCACCAAATGCTGTGCATGTGTGATACTAATACGTTAGGGTCTGCTTTCACAGAACTCACAGAGAGAGAAATTTGGCACTTTGCCAAGAGCTCAGCCAGATGCGTAATGGCTCTGACTAGCCTCTGAGCATGGTTAGGCCTATGTACTGATGAATGATGATGTCACACTTTAATGACATGTGCATTTCCCTATGGAACCAATAGAGGCCCACAGTCCACTGAGCACCATAGGAAAGCACATAGAACAAACTGCAGCATCATCAGTACCGTGGTCTGTTGAAGAGGGCGCTGTACAACCCTGTTATGAGAGAGACAGTGAAGGGGCACTTTGTGTTTGAATCTACTGGCTATGGCTGGTTGTGACATGTGAATCTATGTGAGGTGGCTTCAGATGCAAGATAGTGGCTTCCATAGGTTCACGTATTGTTTCTAGCCGCAGCCACAATTTTCTGACAGGGATTTGCATTTAGTCATGTGGCAGGTACTGCTCATTCTGCATACGGAATAGGTAAATATAGGTAACAGGTTGAGATTGACTAGTTGCCTGTCTCTTCACTGTATTCTAAACCTCAAAAAGAACAGTGGAACCAGTCTCAGATCAAAAGCACCCTCTTTGCTAGTTTGCAATACGTTTCAGTAATATTGCTGAGCTGGGAGGGAAGTCAAACATTATTCTCTAGCTCCGGCACGCGTCCCAAACTCTAGCGGGATGCAGAATCTTCTGGTTTGCAGGAGCAACCTGATTGATGCAGATACAGACAGATACTGTGACAATGGTATTCCACTGAGTTGGCCGTATTTCTTTGCTCACTGTCTTCATTGGTTGTGC